TAGGATGCTGCTTATTTCTCTGCTTGCAACTTCTCCTTTAACTTTATATTTTCAGCACAGAAATCTTAACAGACAAGAGCTTTCACAAATGTCTTCAGCCTGAGCAAAGAGTATTGACAACATTCTGTCAAACCTGGTCATTAACTGTAGCAATAATATCTGTCATTAAAAAAGAATCAAGGAGAAGCTGATTAAATACACCAGAAGGAAACAAAACTTTCTATTTCCTTACTCTTTCCTTGACACGTTGCACTTCACTTGAAGCCTGCTGATATACCAGCCAAAAGAATTGTGAGGGCCTGGATTCTTTCTTAATACAATAGTCATGGTTCACTAGTTAGAATCTGTACAGAATTAGCCAGAGACACGGACGAATGGAAAAACATGCTTAAAGGCTGAAAAATAGCCCTTTTTCATGGCTTAGTCATTAAAAAACCTCATCAATACAGCACTCGAGGAGTTTTTCTATGTCTACTAATCTAAAAAATGATCACAAAATAGTACACCGCAAATAAAGACAAGAAATGTCGCAGCAGTGCTTTTGCCTGGAATGTAGGAGTTAGCAAAAACTCAGGTCAGTGTTTCCATGCAAGTGCTTTCCTCCAGAGATTTTGGGTGCAAACTTCATCTTCACAGCTAAAGCAGCAGAAAGCAGAATTAGTACAATGAGCTGTGACACATCTTGTTCCATTTTTCCAATTTCTGCCTCAAGCAGCCATACCTGACAGCTGGAACCAGCACCACCCACTGAATCCAACAAAAGTGGTCTGAAAATACATCAGCACAGACACAAAATGTGCTAATTAACGGGAATGTGATCAACATGAAAAGCCTGAGTGGTGTTTCACTGCATCACAAGCTGTCCCTCCTGCAAGTCAACTCAGCCTTCCGACTATTGTTCATCCCCACAGGATCCAACTGCCATCCACATAAAATCAATAAGGATAGAACAGGAGACTTAATGGAGTCTCTGGCACCTTTCCCATTTCAGGACAAAGTCCTGCTGAGAAGGGGTTTCTTTTTACTCGACTTCAGGCTTAAACTTTTTGTCGTCGTTGCTTGGGTAGCTGAAAGGTTTTCAAAGAGAAAACGAGGCATCAGTGCCTGCTGGTGAATGTGCCATGTGTCTGGGAGTTAAAATCCAACACACTAGCATGGAGTCCGAGAGCTGGAGGTTCCTGCCCACATCTGAGCTCTCTGGAACATGAAAAAAGAGTTCTGGAAGTACAGAAAGCAAGTGGGGCCCACACCAAGGCTGTGTCAACCATTTCAAGCAGACAACTCCCACTCTACTGCCTTCCTATGCAGATCTTGACAGAAAAATAAATGATAAATGTGGGGGGGAGGTGATTCATATTGTGTAAAACTATAGGAGAAGTTACATGAGTATTTTTTGTAAAAGAGGAGAGCAAGAACATATTAGTATCCCATGGGAAATGAGAGGAGAGATGCTATAGGATTCTTTGAAAAAACAGAATAAGAGGTGATACGCTCAGCCTAGGGAAGGTTCAAGATTTAAAAGAAACTTGCTAGGAAGTTTTAAAACAAAATCTGTTGGGGTGAGGGTGAGCCATCCTGTCCTGCGTTACAGACAACCAGAACTAATGGTTAAAAGAAAGTCTGTTCTGTTGAAAAGGGTTTGAACTCTGGTTGGCGCAGCTCCAGAGGAGCTCCTCTTCTCCACATGCAAGTATGGAATCACAGAATCATTAAGGTTGGAAAAAACGTCCATGATCATCGAGTCCACCCTGTGCCCAATGCCCACCTTGTCCCCAGCCCAGAGCACTCAGTGCCACGGCCAGGCCTTCCTTGGGCACCTCCAGGGCTGGGGACTCCAAACCTCCCTGGGCAGCCCCTTCCAGTGCCTGACCACCCTTTCCAGGAAGAAATTCCTCCTGATGTCCAACCTGAGCCTCCCCTGGTACCGCTTGAGGCTGTGTCCTCTTTTTCTCTCACTCATTGCCCAGGAGCAGAGCCCGACCCCCCCCTCCCCGCCCCCGGCTCCCCCCTCCTGTCAGGGAGTTGCAGAGCCAGAAGGTCCCCCCTGAGCCTCCTTTTCTCCAGGCTGAGCCCCCCCCAGCTCCCTCAGCTGCTCCTGGTGCTCCAGACCCTTCCCTAGCTTCATTCTCTTCTCTGGACATGCTCCAGCCTCTCAATGTCCTTCTTAAAGTGAGAGGCCCAGAACTGGACACAGCACTGGCCGTGCCCTCTGCATGGCTTCTTCCACTACACACCAGGGAAAGAGCAATTTTGAAGAAAAATAGTTGTACTTATTCATCTGAGATTCCCAGTCCTGCCTCTGGGTTGTCTGATGGCCACCTGCTGAAAACCTAACCCATATCTAACTCCTAGTCTGTGAGGAATCTTCCTAATTCCATACACAACTCAAGATGGGTATACAGTTAAGAAAACTGATGCTACAAGCTCTGAACATACTAAAAGTTTAATTCCATCAGAGAAATACAGCAATTATTTTGAAGCTTTCTGGCTTCATTCAACCTCCTCTATTCTTTTATACATTTATTTACTGGAAAGAAAGGAGAAGAGAGCGTGAGGGGAGAAGGGAGGGAAGGAACCCTGGGACAACACATGCTGGGCTGTAAAATGCAAGGAAGGTTTTTCAAAACTGCACATTCTAAACATCACCTTGGAGTTACACAACAATAAATACTCAATATTGCACTGCAAGGGTCTAATTGCCAAGTAACTATAGCAATGGAGAGAAAAGCCTGTCTTTGGACACATTTCCTCCCGCCTTAATTTTTCCCTGGGGTGGGAAAGGTTGCAGAGAATGCGCTCTAGATCCTTAATGGATAACGTTTTCCAGAGCCCCCTCTGATCACTCAGTGACTGTGGGATTTAAAAGCAGTAGAGTGATTTCTCCAAAGAAAGCTGAACGTTCAAAACAATTACCCTGAACTAGTCCATCCCCTTGGAAAGGGTTTAATGCACCAGGTTCTGAGGTGAGGCTGTCAGGATACACTGAGACACAGCAATGACCCTCTATGAAGCACCTCACTCACCACCGCTTCCTTCATCCCAAAAAACAGAGCTTTCCAGGGAGCCCAAAAGCCTGAAAATGAGTAAGTGTGAAGTGAGACTACACTGGCCTGCACTGAACATTTGTTTTTGCCAAGAGAAGACCACATTTCTGTGTTGGTTTTAAACACTGCCCTCAGGAATTTAATTTTGGGGATGAAAATTCAAGAATTATTTGGAGTCTTCAAGTTATCTTTCCCCTCTTGATATTTTCCAGAGCTGTTTGGAAATGGGAGGGTGGAGCTGGCACCACTGGGGCAGTGGTTTCAGAAAACACTTCTGTCTTCATTCAGGGAAAAAACTGCTGGATCATGTTGATATTTTTATAAGTAACTCGATGCATGGTTCTATTTTGGATACCAACTATGCAGCAACGCAGACTGATTTGAGCAAATTGCAGGGGGAGGAAGAGAAAATGAAGATCCCCTTAGAGGACAAGAATTGCCTTCTCCAGCTAAACCTCTTGAACCTCCAAGGGCTCAGTTTAACCATGTGCCTTTCAAAAAAAAGTTTTAAAAGCAGCCATTTATATTTATAACTAAGTAAAAATAAAAGGTAATTGTGGTTGTTCAGTGACATGTGAAGAAGTTGAACTAAACCAATTAAAGGTAAAAATCTTCCATGTTTACTCCAGATCAAGACCAATTATGCTTTTATGACAAATGAAAGACCTCAAAAAACACAACTTAATAAAATTGTGCCAACTTCAGGGACTTTTCACTTCTATTTGTTGCCTTAGTCTGTTAAAGAACTTGTTAAAGAACTTCCAGTTTTACGAAGCAGCAGAGCCTCCTCCACCTTGATAAAGAAAACTGCCAGCACTTAAAACAAGTAACCACAGCTAAAAATTTTCTCACAGTGTGAATGGGAACATTAGTACTTGAAAAACACGCTGTGTTTTTTCACAAGGCTTCTAGAGAATGCCTTCCAGCCAGCCTACACAACATTTGCAACATAAAATTCATTATAGTAGCTTTGGAGACATTCACACTTATGATCCTGGCTCCACAAAGGTGTAGCACAGTTCAGGGTGGGCCAACATCCCATAAATAATTGGGAACCCTTCCCACAAACTCTAAAATTAGGGGGAAAAAATAGCGTGTGTGTGTATATGTATATATAAATATATATATAAATATATATATGTATATATAAATATATATATATAAATATATATATGTATATATAAATATATATATATATAAATATATATATATATATGTATATGGAAGAAATCCTTCCCTGTGAGGGTGGGGAGGCCCTGGCACAGGTTGCCCAGAGAACCTGTGGCTGCCCCAGCCCTGGAAGTGTACAGGTTGGACGGGGCTTGGAGCAACCTGGGCTAGTGGAAGGTGTCCCTGCCCATGGCAGGGGGTGGCACTGGATGAGCTTTAAGGTCCCTTCCAACCCAAACCATCCCATGATTTTGTAATTCTAATTATCAACTTCTTGTATGGAGTAACTTCTTGAATATGACAGAATGATCTTGCTAACATTATTCAGCTCCTTTTCCCAAATAAACAGGATGATAGGGGGCCTGGGTTGCTCATAAAATGAGGTGATTTCTGGGACATCAACAGGGATTGACAACAGCTGTTTTTTCACAAGCCTGGACCTCATTTCAAGGCCTGATGAGGCCAGACAGCACAGATCACAGAATTGTTGGTGTTGGAAGGGACCTCTGGAGATCCCCCAGTCCAATCCCACTGCCAAGACCGGGTCACCTGGAGCAGGCAACACAGGAACGTGTTCAGGTGGGTTTGGAATGTCTCCAGAAAGGGAGAATCCAGGCCCTCCCTGGGCAGCTGTTCCAGTGCTATGCCACCCTCAGCATAAAGTTCTTCCTCATCTTGAGGTGATGCAGGACCTCTGCCAGGAAAAACTTACACGGGAATGTGTCCACTGGATGTACCCAACCCTGCAGTGAGAGACTTTGTCCTGCAGCACAGGTGGGTTCTTACCACGGCTGAGGCGAGAGCGCTGAGGGCAGCGGAGCGGCCGCTGTGGGCCCAACGCGGGTGTGATAGCGGGGACCTGCGAGGAGATGGGAATGCTGCCATAGCCTGAGGGAGACGAGGGCTAACAAGGACACAACGGGAACTCTAGACGGAAAGATGGTGCCCAGGACGGGCTGGGGCCGGGCCGGGCCCTACGGGGCAAACGGCGTTTTGGGCCGAATCCTACGGGGAAAAGGGGGATTTTGGGCCGGGCCCAAGGTCGGGCGCTGTGGCCATGACGCCCACCCGCCGGTAACTATGGCAACGGCGACGGGGAACTCTCGCGAGATCTGCCGCCGCGAGCAAGCGGCGGTGCCTCGGGTCTCGCGAGAGTTGTGCGGGGGAGGAGGCGAGGGGACGGGCAAGATGGCGTCGGAGGGCGACCTGGGCAGGAAGTGGGACCGGTGTGTGGCGGACTCGGCCGTGAAGCTGGGTAAGGGCGGCGTGGGCTCGACGGGGCTCGACGGGGCGGGGAAGAGCGGCGACGGCCGCCCGGGCGCTCCGAAGTTGCGGGAGCGGCCCCCCGCGCGTCCCCGCGGCGCGGGGCCCGGTGCCCTCCGGCGGCCCGGGCTCACCTCAGGGCGGCTGTGGCCCCGGACGGGGCGCGGGGGGCGCGGAGGATCCGCCCTCAGCGCTGCCCCCGCGGTCGGGCAGAGCCGGGGACCCCGGGCCCGGCAAGGTGACCTTGGCCGCAGACTCGGACCCCCGGCGGGCCCGCTCCCGGCTCAGCGCAGCCCGGGCGTGCTCGACCTCTGGGTACTCACTGAGTTGAAGAGGAGAGGTTTCCGTGCGGAATGTGGGACGGCTCCCGCCCGGAATGAATGAGCCCCGGGCAGGCACAGCTGGTCCTGCCGTGCAGCGACCTTGCCTGCCTTCGGCTCCGCTGCGGCCGTGGGTTTGAGCTCGGTCCGTACAGAGCTGTTCACATCACTCAGTGCACCAGGGAGGCTGTGTTTATTAAAAGCAGTAGGCAGCGTGACACGCGGAGAGCTCTGGCACGTGTTACTGGGTACAGTGTGTGGACTATGACATTGAGAAGCTCCGTCCATGTCCCAGCCGTGGGACTGCAGTTCTGCCTTTTCTTTAAGTAGGGGACCAGTTCTGTTGTTTTTTCCGGTTTTATTTGTCCTTAAAGTTCGGGCTGTGCACACGCCTGTAGCACTTCAGGTCTGCAACAAAACATTTGTAAGGTTTCACTGAGTCCTGCGAGTTTTACCAATGATGGTGACTGTGAGCTCGGTGCTCACCCTGTGACCGGCTGCCAAGTGACACCAGACAGAGCTTCTGCCTTCACAAAATGTGTTTACAAACCCAAATCTTTAATTCAACATATGGAGCAAGAAGTGCAGCGTCTGACACGCAAGGCATTCATTCCATGTTGGTGCAGATGTCTCTTTTACAACCATAAGTAATATCTGGGAAACGTGAATGTTTACTACTTCTTGTTCTAGTGGTCTTGTGCTTGAAAGCTGATGAGGAACTCAGGGTTTTTAGTTGCCTAATACTTTTCCATTAGAAAAGATGTTTAATAATTTTAAGTAAACTGAAACTCCCATTGTTTATAACAGACCTTTGGAAAGTGTCAAGTGCTCCAGAGCAGTGTTTTCCCTTATGAAATTCTATTCAGGTTTGTCTGACAAACATATCCAGATATGTTTATATTTCCATAGCATTGGTTGCTTTATCATAAAATATTAAGTGTGTCAGATTATAAACAAGAGCTTGTTCCATGCTGCAGCTGTACATGTAGGAATTCTGTACATCCTCTCTCCTGGAGGCTGAAAGAAGCGAATACAGGGTTGACTTCCCAGAATTCCGGACTGATTTGGGTTGGAAGGGACCTTAAAGATCATCCAGTGCCACCCCCTGCCATGGGCAGGAACACCTTCCACTGGCCCAGGTTGCTCCAAGCCCCGTCCAACCTGGCCTTGGACACTTCCAGGGATGGGGCAGCCACAGGTTCTCTGGGCAGCCTGTGCCAGGGCCAAACCACCCTCACAGGGAAGAATTTATCCCTAGTATCCAATCTAAACCTACTCTCTTATCAGTTTGAAGCCATTCTGCCTTGTTCTGTCACTTCAGGCCCTTGTAAAAAGTCTCTCTCCACCTTACCTGTCGGCTCCTTCAGATACTGGGAGGCCACAATTAGGTCACCCTGGAACCTTCTCTTCTCCAGGCTGAAGAATCCCAGTTCTCTCACCCTTTCCTCCCAGCAATGCTGCTCCATCCCTCTGATCCTCTTGGTGCCTCCTCTGGACTGGCTCCAGCAGCTCCATGTCCTTCCTGTGCTGGGCCCCCAGGGCTGGAGGCAGCTCTGCAGGGGGGGTCTCAGCTGAGGGGGCAGAGGGGCAGAATCACCGCCCTCCCCTGCTGCCCACACTGGGGGATCAGCCCAGGACACATCCAGGGCATGTCCAGCCTCTCACCCACCAGCACCCCCAAGTCCTTCTCCCAGGGCTGTTCTCCATTGTGTCGCTCCCCAGCCCAGGTGCAGGACCAGCACTTGTTCTCGTTGAACCTCATGAGACTCCAGTGGGCCACTGCTTGAGCTTGTTCAGGTCCTCTTGGATGTCCCTGTCCTTCAGGTGTGTCTGCACCACTCAGATTGGCGTCACCTGCACTTAATGCAGCCAGTGCCTTCAGCAGGCCTTGCTATTTAATTTGGTGTTTTCTTCCATCCTAAAATGGCAGCAGAAGAAAGGGAATATACTTTGCCTCGTGCTTGCGTACTCTAGGCCAAGGATTGATTCCCAGTGTTGGCTTCACGGTGACATTGAGTAAAGATTCATGTTTTTCATTAGATTGCCTAAAAAGGTCACGTGCACTGTGACATGCGTTGTGATTAGCAGCTCTTTAATTTATTACCAAACCCACTGTGATGGGCTGGGACACTCTTTGTGAGCGAGAGCATTTTTCTGGTTTGTGTGCTTTTACAATTGATCAGTAACTGAAACATCTGTGCTGACAACCTCCTCCTTGGTATTACCAGCAAATGACTTGGGATGAACTTGGGAAGTCAGAGCAACCCCAAAATTGCTTCATACTCCAGTAGTTTGTGACTGAAGATGATGATGGCCTTTAAATGTGAAGTGACTCAGTGCCCAAGCTGTGTGCTGACAACATAGATTTTCCCAGGCTATCCCAGTACGAATGATTGTTTGCTCTGCAGGGACATTAAAACCTTGCGTGGTTGTGATGATTGGTTTTGTAATATTACTGCAAAGTTTGCTGGAGTTTCCAATAAACTGTCAAGGGAGGTTGTTATACTGGAAAGAAAAAAAATAAACTTTTTTACTTGAGAATTTAGTTAGTTGTTACCTGGGATATGAGATTTGGTAAACTTTGTACTTTTTTGTCAGAATTTTCCTTTTTGTGGCCACGGTTTCCTTCCCAAATGCTCCTTTACATCCTGAGTGCTACAGCCAGGGAGATCTTTCCAGCCAGTGGCTGGGGAAAAACAAACATTGTGATTAGCTGTGTGTTTTCCCATTCCAAACTCTCTAAATAAACGGAAGCACTGAATTTCTGAAGCCTTGCATGTGGGACACTTCCCAGAGTCCATGAGAACTCTGGACAGATAACCCCTGTGAATTAGTTTGAGGGTTAGAGGGACATGGGAAACAGAAGAGAGGGATGTAGAGCTCTTGGGCTGGCTTTATTAGCAATAATCTGCTTTTAAATATTAGTCCTTCAGGATTCCCACTATGCCGGTGTTTGTAGTTAGCTGTGTTTGTAGTTGTGCTGCACTGTTTTAGTTGGAGATGGAGCTTCTGGAAAAAACTTGATCTCCTGCCACTAAAACGTCCAAAATAAATATTTATCTTGTGTTCCATCCTTTGAAATGCTGCATTATGTTTTTGAGCTCTTAGTCGCTACCTGTGTGTGTCTTGTAATTTGGTGTGAACTTTTTCCTGTTAGTTCCAAACAGAGAATGCTGTCAGGCATTGTTAAGGCAGTATTTAATTTCAAAGAGTAAGTAAACGTCTTTATGCCTGCACAAAACATTGAGCTATTGTTAAATGGAGTTTAGGTGCTCACCTCCTTTTTGTTAGGACTGATATTTATTTGTTTTGGTCAGGATGGGAATGGGTCTTGGTGGTTTTGTTCCCCTTCCATTCCAAATGTAGCTGTGAGCAGTGTGTGCGTAAAGGGGCTGGGTTGTGCTTTCTTGGCTGACCAGGAGGTTTCCGATGGGTGATCCAGGTCGTGCTGGCTGTGGCTTTGCGCTATTCCTAAGTCTTTTCACCCGCACAGTCATTTAAATAATTTAACTTTCTGTTCCCTCTTTCATCCTGATACTGACTTTTTCCATACAGAAAAGCTATGTGTTACTTTTTTACAGAAAAGTTGCTTGTTCATGTGTGGGGAAGAAGAATCAAACTGCAGTGACTTTCTTTTTCTTCCCAGCCTGCAGACCTTTCTAAACTCCTGTATCTGCCCCGGGCTTCACAGCCATTTCTTCCTTCTCATCAGTAGAGCTGTGCAGAGGAGGGACGGTGAAGTAGGTAGTGTTGTGCTCTTCCTCCATCCTGCAGGCTCCAAACCCTGTTCAAAGGGTCGGCTTGTTTGTTTGACTGATTGATAGTTCACATCTGTTTATTTGGAAAGACAATTACTCACAAAAGACTGACAGCTGTTTTTTGCTGCGAGGCTGTAATTTTGGACAAATTATTATTATAAGCTGTTTCCAGGGGACAGAGAGGCAATAAAGAGTATGAGCAGTAGGGAGGGAGGTTTGTGTGCCTGCATGTCTTGGTTTGTTTTGAAGCTGTTGTAGTTTTAAATGAGTTGAGCACTGTAATTTCGCTGTTACTGAAAGGTAGTCCTAGGAAAGCTGTTTGTTTCTTGACCTCTTGAGTGTGAAGTTGCTGTGTTGAGGTTCATTTTTTTTTCAGGAGAGAAATGTTTTGATGTATGTCTGTGCCTGACCAAAATGCAGCCTGGAAGCTTGTAAATAACCCAGTTGTAGCGATGTTCATTTTCCTCTAATCCTCTGTTTTGACATCTGCAAATAAAATGCTTCTAATTTCCATGTAATAGGGATTTTTTTTTAAGAGAAAAGGGCACTTTGAATTCTCCTGCAACTGTTAACATGATTTTTTCTGGCTTGCATCATCTGGCCTGCTTGAATAGCTGTTCTGTTAATGGCAAGGGTGAAATTGTATTGTTTGAGTCATTCCACAGATTGGATGTTTCAGAAAG